TTTTTCCCCCAAAACCCATTTTGTCCATAAAGGGGGGGCCCCTTTAAAAATTTCCCCCGGTTTTTTCCCCTTAAACGCCTTAAAAAGGGGCCTAGGGCCAATTTTTAGGGCCCCCCCCCTTTTGGGCCCAAAAGGGCCAAAAAGAAATGGGGGGGCCCCAAAAAAAAAAACCCCCCTTTTTTATTAGGGAAAATTTAAAAGGGGGAAAAGAAGTTTTTCCCCAGTAAAAGGGCCAAAAATTTTTTAGGCCCGGTCCCCGGGTAAAATTTTTTTGGGGGAAACCCCTAAAATTTTCTGGGGAACCCCCAAATTTCCAAAAAAGTTTTAGGGGGGTAAAAAGGGGAAACCAAAATTTTTCTTTTTTTTCCCGTTATTAAAATTTTTCTGGGAAAATTTTTTCCTTTTGGGAAAAGAAATTTATTTTTAGCCCTTTTTTAAAAAATTAAAAAACCCCAAATTTTCCCCCAAAAAATTCTTTCCCTTTTTCTAAAACCACCCCCCGAAAAACAAAAAAAAAAAAATTTTAAAAACGGGTTTTTTTGGGAAGTTTTTCCCGCCCCAAAAAACAAAAAAAATTTTTTAAACCCAAAAATTATTGGGGAAAATTTAAAAAAAAAAATTAAAAGGGCCCCTTTTTTTAAAAAAAGGGGGGGTGGCCCTAAAAACCAAATTAACAAAAAATTTTTTAAAAATAGGGAAAAATAAAAAAAAAAAAAATTGGGGGGGTTTTAGGGGGGAAAATTTTTTTAAAAAATTTTTTAAAAAAAACCCTAGAAAAAAAAAAAAATTAAGGGAAAGCCTTTTTAAAAAAAAAAAATTTAAAAATTTTTTATTAAAACCAAATTTTTCTTTTTCCTTTTTTCAAAAAATTTTTTTTCGGGGTTTTTTTTAAAAATTTTCCTTTTTTTTTTTTCCCCCCCCCTTTTATTTTTTTTTATTTTAAAGAAAGGGTTTTTTGGGGCCCAAAAAAATTAAAAAAAAACCTTTCCCAAAAAATTTTATTGGAAAACCCTAAAAAAGAAAATGGCCCAAATTTTTCTTCCCCAAAAATTTCGGGCCCAAAAACCCTGGGGAAAATTTATTGCCAAATTTTTCTTGGGAAAAGCCTTTTAAACCCCCAAAATTGTTTTAAAGGGGGAAAAAAGCCCCCCAAAGTTTAACCAAAACCCAAAAAATTTTTCAAAAAATTGAAAAAGGGCCCTTTTTCGGGGGCCCCTTTTTTTGGGGCCACAAAAGACGGGGGAAAAAAAAAATTTTTGGGGGAAGAAAAATGCTGGGGGAAAATTTTTCCAAAAAACCAAATTTTCTGGGGCCCCAAGTTTTTCCGGGGGAAAAAAAAATTTTTTTGGGAAAAAATTTTTTCCCCAAATTTTCGGGGAAAAAAATTTTTTTGGGGCAAAAAGAAGGGGGAAAGGAATTTTTCGAAAAATTTTTAAAAACAAAAGGCGGGCCAGGGGGAAAAAAAAAGGAAAGGGCCCAAAAATTTGGGAAAAAAATTTTACGGGAACAAAATTGGGGCCAAAATTTTTTTCCGGGGGCCACCCAAAAGTTTAGTCCCAAAATTTTTTTAAGAAAAATGTTTTAGGCCAAAAAAAGACAAAAAACAAAACCCCCACCCAACAAAAAGTTAAAAGGGAAACAAATTTTACGGGGCCCCAGAAAAAAACCAAACGCCCAAATGCCCAGGGCAAACAAAAAAGGGGGGGAAAAAACTAAAAACCCCCCCACCCCACCCTCCCCCCCCTCCCCCCAAAAACACCACCAGAACCCCCCCCCCCCCCCCCCTCCCCCCCCCCCCAACCCCCACCCCCACCCAAACCACCCACCCAAACACCCCCCAAAAAAACCCCCCCCCCATCCCCCCACCCCCCACCAACCCCTCCACAACCCTCAACAAACCCCCCCCAACACAACCACCCCCACGAAACTGTCACCCCCCCATCCCACCCCCCCAACCCCACCACCCCCCACACACCCCCCATCGCACCCCCACAACCCAAACAACACACCACCCCCACCACTAAATCAAACCAAACCCCCCCCACCCGCCAAAAACCCACCCCCCCCCCCCCAAACCCCCCAACCATCCCCCCACCCCCCCCCCACACCACCCCCCCACCACCCCATTACCCCCCCCCACCACAACCCCAAGGCCCGTAAACATCCCCACACCAACCCCCCTAACCCCCCCCCCCCCACCCCCCCCCCCCCCCCCCCACTCCCCCCCCCAACCCACAATGACCAAGACAATAATCCACACCCAGCTCCAAATAAAGCCCCATTATCCATCAATAATAGCAAACCAAAACCATAATAAAAAAAAAAAACACGAGAACAACCAACACAATAAACAAAACAGCAAACACATTCCTAAAAACTCCAGACACACATCCGTCCACACACCCCCCCACGCACCTAGGACAGCCCCCTCCACGTACCCGTTTACACCCGACCTCAGCCCACCAAGGCTACACAATAGATTGTCCATGACCATTACCATCACGAAAGAAAATACAATGGGACACCATTCCCCCATCCAGACCCGTACGAACCAACACCCCCAGAACCACGCAAACCGTATTTTAAGACTCAATCAACCCCCAAAACTGAATCATCCCCCATACTCCCGCACCACAAACCCATCACACACGCTCCGTTACCCTAATCCATCAATCCCGACGTCGTCAACGCACTCTAATCAGCCAGTACGAAGGCCCAACACCTCTGCCATAATAAAACATCCCTTTAAATTCACCCCTACATCCTGACCATATACCGAAAGCCCCTCTACAAAAGAAATACATGCCCTCCCCAGAAACCCCAACCTTAACCAACCCCTAACTTACCATCCATGCTAACCTCCACCCACGATAACTTTACCCCCAAGCCAACACCACCAACCCCAAAATCACTAACCCTTCCCCCCCCTCCCGCAACCTACCGCATCCACTAACATCTCCAGAACCCAACCCCAAACACACCAACTGACCCCAATATACCCATAGGGTAACGGCAATCCAGCCCAACAAGACCCAAAACAACTAAAAAAACAAAAGACATTGAATTAGCCCGAGTAAAAACAAATACCACAATCAACCATGAGTCCCAGTCATTAATCCCTACCAAAGAAACAACTCCCAATAAACTTTAACCAAGAACACTCCGACAAGCAATACCTTACCTGCACCCCCTCGTAAGTCAGAGCAAACAAAATAAAAATAACCATAAAGAAGAATAAACAAATGACCACACTATTGGTATAAAAGATTCAAAATAATATAAAGACAAATTAATACAAACAAACAGGAACAAATTCTGATGGAATGAACAGAGAAACATCGGACAGATGCAATCTCCTGCCTAACTGTAAATCGGAACAATGTTGACCTACAACGATAAAGTACATGCAAAAAACCTGGCAAACTTGTAGGGGTACCTTGCGCCATGCAAAAATAACGCTGTAACAATCAAAAAAAAAACTCGACCCCGCGAAATCCAACCCCAACTACAACTGCACCAGACATGCCTTACACACGCACAGGTCACCCTACCACGAGATCCACGTACCCCCCTCCACCACCCCCCAAGCGCACCTCCGCTTATACCCAGCTCAATATCAACACCCAAAATAACATTCCCCCAAAAACATCAAACAAAAAGAAAAACAACAAAAGCGGGATCCCCTATGTACGGCCAACACCCTTGCTGACTGATTTCCATCGCCACACACTGCCATTTGTCCACTATGTACAGGATCTCCTCGACTACTGCTCGGTTTGTTCCCATTCTTGTCATAGGGAGCTGTCAGATTAACGGGCCTCCCATTGCCTGCTAAAGCAAGGCCTGTAAACATGCCATAGGGGCCCCTTGTACCCCCTAACCCTACCGTACCAGTCCTCACAGTGCTGCAGCCAAGTCCAGAGTCCCCCCTCATGGGTCCCTGAGTGAAATGGCCTGGTCCTTTCCCCATTGCTGCTGTCTCCAGTGGAGCCAGCAGGAGCAACTGGTAGAGGATGAGGTGCCACTTTCCCAGTGATCTCCTCACAGACGCACGTGGCAGTATGCTGTGGAGATGGTGAGGCAGTGAGTTCCCTCGCATTCCTTGGCACATATGGTGCCCATAGCTATGCTCGGTTGCTTGAGTTAACCGACAGCCGAATAAATAACCATTCAAAACAGAGGGATGACTTTTGGGACTTGTAATGTCCACCTTGTTGTTTGATCCCCTCGCTACCGTTCAAAAAATGGTGAACACTTTTTTCACAAATCTGCTTGAGAGGGAGGCCAAAATAACGTACTATATAAAAAAAACCACCTATGTAGGTCAGTTGGGTCCTAGCCTTTGCTGCGCCAACGCCATACCTCAGCACTGGGGGCCCTGTTCATAGCTCACTCCGTTCCGCTGCCATGTCAGCCAGGAGAGGGTGGTGGTTTAGGAGCAGTGCATGCTCCGGCCACCAGCAGCTGCCCTCAGTCTGCTAGTCGATGATGAAGTAGCTTTCTTCACCAGCGCAGTGAGGAAACTAACTAACCAGCCGCAGCGCGCGAGCATCAGGTGGACCTGTGTGCAGGACCTCAAACAACAGGCTTGGGCCTACTTTGGACAGCACCCTGCCAACCAGGTAGACAATTCCCCTTGACTATCTGGTCAACGAAACTTGACCTTTTGGCCCCAACTAGCTGAATTTGCCCTTGAAAGGCTGTTCACATGGCCCGACCAGTAGCGTGGCTCGCGGAGCCGCGTGTTTTAGTGCTGGCAGGCCCGCGTATTGTAACTCCTCGCGGAGGACCCCTACGACTGTCCACCCAAAGTGTGCAGAGACTCACGTTTTATTGTGAAAATGAATCAGGCGTGGATTAGTCTGGATTTCAAACCACCAGTTCCTCGACACAATCTGACTAAATCCGCCATGAATCATGCCCCAAACATGTGCCACTTTCAGGTCTCCTCACACTGCTGGTGTGGTTCCATTTTTGTCATAGGGTGCTGCAGATTACGGGCCTCCCATAGCTGCTGCCAGGCCCCTAAATCTGCCATGGGCCCCCTGTACCGGCCTCCTCATGCTGCTGCCAGGTCCAGGAGTCTCTGTCATGGGTCCCTGTACGGCCTCCCAAAACTGCAGTTCTCCATCGCCACACATCTGCCATGTGTTCCACTTTAGGTCTCCTCACACAGCTGGTGTGTTCCATTTTTTGTCATAGGGTGCTGGCAGATTACGGGCCTCCCATAGCTGCTGCAGGCCTCCTAATCTGCCATGGTGAAAATAATGCTCGTGTACCTCCTCCTGCTGCCAGGTCCACAGTGTAATCAAGCCATGTGGCCACTTTCAGGTCTCCTCACAACATGCTGTGTGTTCCATTTTTTGTCATAGGGTGCTGGCAGATTACGGGCCTCCCATAAACTGCTGCCAGGCCCCTAATCTGCCCATGGGGCCTCCTGTAACCGCCCCTCATAAAGCTGCTGCCATTCCAGAGATCGCTCATGGTGTCCCTGTACCGGCCTCCCATGCTGTCTGCCATCGCCACACTCTGCAGCATGTGCCACTTTCAGGTCTCCTCACACTGCTGGTGTGTTCCATTTTTTGTCATAGGGTGCTGGCAGATTACGGCCTCCCATTGCTGCTGCCAGGCCCCTAATCTGCCATGGGCCCCTGTACCGCCTCCTCATGCTGCTGCCAGGTCCACAGTCTCTCATGGGGATCCCTGTACGCCTCCCTTGCATGTCTCCATCGCCACACTCTGCCATGTGCCACTTTCAGGTCTCCTCACACTGCTGGTGTGTTCCATTTTTTGTCATAGGGTGCTGGCAGATTACGGGCCTCCCATAGCTGCTGCCAGGCCCCTAATCTGCCATGGGCCCTGTACCACGCCTCCTCATGCTGCCCAGTCCAGAGTGTCCAGGTCCCTGTACGAGTCTCCATCATGCCATGTGCCACTTTCAGGTTGAACGTCCTCACACTGCTGTGTGTTCCATTTTTTGTCATATGGTGCTGGCAGATTACGGGCCCAACCCATAGCTGCTGCCAGAAAGCCCCTAATCTGCCCATGGGCCCCTGTTGCCCTCTCTCATGCTGCTGCCAGTCCATTCTCTCATGGGTCCCTTACCCTCCCATTGCTGCTGTCCCTCATCGCCACACACTCTGCCATGTGCCACTTTCAGGTCTCCTCACACTGCTGGTGTGTTCCATTTTTTGTCATAGGGTGCTGGCAGATTTACGGCCTCCCATTGCTGCTGCCAGGCCCCTAATCTGCCCATGGCCCCTATACCGCCTCCTCATGCTGCTGCCAAGTCCAGAGTGCTCTCTGCCCCTGTACCGTCCAATTGCTGCTGTCTCCATCGCCACACTCTGCCATGTGCCACTTTCAGGTCTCCTCACACTGCTGGTGTTGTGTTCCATTTTTTGTTGTCATAGGGTGCTGGCAGATTACGGGCCTCCCATTGCTGCTGCCAGGCCCTAATCTGCCATGGGCCCTTGTACCGGGCCTCATGCTGCTGCCAGTGTACCGATTTTGCCATAGGGTGCCTGTCGGGTCCTCCCATTGCTGCTGCCATGCCAGGGGTCCAGAATGTGCCACTTTCAGGTCTCCTCACACTGCTGCCAGTACGTGTTCCAATTTTTTGTCATAGGGGCTGGCAGATTACGGGCCTCCCATTGACACACACTCGCCAGGCCCCTAATCTGCCATGGGCCCCTGTACCGCCTCCTCATGCTGCTGCCATTGTCCTGAGTCTGCTGGGTCCCTGTACGGTCCCACAGCTGTCTCTGCCACATGTGCCACTTTCAGGTCTCCTCACACTGCTGGTGTTTTCCATTTTTTGTCATAGGGTGCTGGCAGATTACGGGCCTCCCATAGCTGCTGCCAGGCCCCTAATCTGCCATGGGCCCCTATACCGCCTCCTCATGCTGCTGCCAGGTCCAGAGTCTCTCATGGGTCCCTGTACGCCTCCCATTGCTGCTGTCTCCATCGCCACACTCTGCATGTGCCACTTTCAGATCTCCTCACACTGCTGGTGTGTTCCATTTTTTGTCATAGGGTGCTGGCAGATTACGGGCCTCCCATTGCTGCTGCCAGGCCCGTAATCTGCCATGGGCCCCCGTACCGACTCCTCATGCTGTGACGTTGCAACAAGGTGGAATTCAACCCTACATATGTTAGACCGCCTTTACGAACAGCGAAAGGCCATCACAGATTTCCTGATGTTACAAGCGGATAAAGGTACTCCCCTGTGTAACTTAGATGTCAGCCATTGGCAGCTCATGCGTGACACCTGCCGCTTGCTCAGGCCCTTTGAGGAGGCCACGCTATTCGTGAGTCGGCAGGACTATGGGATGAACGACGTCATTCCTCTGTTGCACGTCCTGGAACAAATGCTGTTAACAATGGCTGGTCAGGGTGCGGTAGACGTGGCGCACAGATCTCAACGCCACATGACCCCTGTGGGGGCAGGACAGGAAGAAGAGGAGGAGGTAGAGGACATTGGTGCTCAGGAATTATTGAGTGAAATGGGTGGTTTTTCCACTCAGCGGACAGGAGTGGAGGAGCAGGAGCATCTGGTAGAGGAGGAGGAGGAGACAGAGGACCCAGACGCACCGTGGCAGTATGCTGTGGAGATGGAGGCAGGGAGTCCCTCGCATTCCTTGGCACAAATGGCCCATAGCATGCTCGGTTGCTTGCGTAGCGACAGCCGAATAATAACCATCAGACAGAGGGATGACTTTTGGCTGTCCACCTTGTTGGACCCTCGCTACCGTTCAAAAATGGTGGCCTTTTTCACACCTGCTGAGAGGGAGGCCAAAATAACGTACTATAAAAACCACCTATGTAGTCAGCTGGTCTCTGCCTTTCTGCGCCAACGTCCATCCTCAGACACACTGGGGGCCCTGTGCGCTCGCGTTCCGCTGCCATGGCAGCAGGGGAGGGGTGGGGTGGTAGGAGCAGTGGCAGCTCCACCAGCAGCGGCTGCCTCAGTCTGCAGTCGATGATGAGTAGCTTTCTTCACCAGCGCAGTGAGGAAACTACTAACCAGCCGCAGCAGCAGCAGCATCAGGTGGACCTGGAGCAGGACCTCAAACAACAGGCTTAGGCCTACTTGGACAGCACCCTGCCAACCGAGGTAGACAATCCCCTTGACTACTGGGCAACGAAACTTGACCTTTGGCCCCAACTAGCTGAATTTGCCCTTGAAAGGCTGTCATGCCCGGCCAGTAGCGTGGCATCGGAGCGCGTGTTTAGTGCGGCAGGAGGTATTGTAACTCCGCGGAGGACACGACTGTCCCACCCAAAGTGTGGAGAGACTCACGTTTGTGAAAATGAATCAGGCGTGGATTAGTCTGGATTTCAAACCACCAGTTCCTGACACAACTGACTAAATCCGCCATGAATCATGCCCCAAACATGTGCCACTTTCAGGTCTCCTCACACTGCTGGTGTGTTCCATTTTTTGTCATAGGGTGCTGGCAGATTACGGGCCTCCCATAGCTGCTGCCAGGCCCCTAATCTGCCATGGGCCCCTGTACCGCCTCCTCATGCTGCTGCCAGGTCCAGAGTGTCTCATGGGTCCCTGTACGGCCTCCCATTGCTGCTGTCTCCATCGCCACACTCTGCCATGTGCCACTTTCAGGTCTCCTCACACACTGCTGGTGTGTTCCATTTTTTGTCATAGGGTGCTGGCAGATTACGGGCCTCCCATAGCTGCTGCCAGGCCCCTAATCTGCCATGGGCCCCTGTACCGCCTCCTCATGCTGCTGCCAGGTCCCTGTACAGTGTCTCATGCCATGCCATGTGCCACTTTCAGGTCTCCTCACACTGCTGTTGTGTTCCATTTTTTGTCATAGGGTGCTGGCAGATTACGGGCCTCCCATTGCTGCTGCCAGGGCCCGTAAATCTGCCATGGGCCCCTGTACCGCCTCCTCATGCTGCTGCCAGGTCCACAGTGTCTCATGCCATGTGCCACTTTGTCAGGTCTCCTCACACACACTGCTGGTGTGTTCCATTTTTTGTCATAGGGTGCCAGATTACGGGCCTCCCATAGCTGCTGCCAGGCCCCTAATCTGCCATGGGCCCCTGTACCGCCTCCTCATGCTGCTGCCAGGTCCACAGTGTCTCATGCCATGTGCCACTTTCAGTTCTCCTCACACTGCTGGTGTGTTCCATTTTTTGTCATAGGGTGCTGGCAGATTACGGGCCTCCCATAGCTGCTGCCAGGCCCCTAATCTGCCATGGGCCCCTGTACCGCCTCCTCATGCTGCTGCCAGGGGTCCCTGTCCACAGTGTCTCATGCCATGTGCCACTTTCAGGTCTCCTCACACTGCTGGTGTGTTCCATTTTTTGTCATAGGGTGCTGGCAGATTACGGGCCTCCCATTGCTGCTGCCAGGCCCCTAATCTGCCATGGGCCCCTGTACCGCCTCCTCATGCTGCTGCCAGGTCCAGAGTGTCTCATGGGTCCCTGTACGGCCTCCCATTGCTGCTGCCAGGAGGCAGCAGGGTCGCAGCAGTGTCAGTGGAGGCAAACGGCCACGGAGTAGAGCACCAGCTCCACTGCAGCCTACCACCACGGCCAGTAGTGGTGCCGGTGTGCACGGAGGAAGTTTTTTGTCAGCCATGAGGAGTAGCGGGGGCAGATTACGTTCCCACTGGCGGTGTGCAATTTTTCGTCAAGCCTGCCATGAGGAAGTAAACGTAGCCGTATCATGTCTGCTATGTGGCCAGGTCAAGCGTGGCCATGGGTCCCATGTACGGCCTCCAGCATTGCTCAGCATATGCTCCATCGCCATTCACTCTGGGAAAACCGTGATAAACTTTCAGCGGTCTCTGCCTCCCCACCCAGGGTTTCCATTTTGTCATAGGGTGCTGGCAGATTACGGGCCTCCCATTGCTGCTGCCAGGCCCGTAATCTGCCATGGGCCCCAGTACCGCCTCCTCATGCTGCTGCCAGGTCCACAGTCTCTCATGGGTCCCTGTACGGCCTCCCATTGCTGCTGTCTCCATCGCCACACTCTGCCATGTGCCACTTTCAGGTCTCCTCACACTGCTGGTGGGTTCCATTTTTTGTCATAGGGTGCTGGCAGATTACGGGCCTCCCATTAGCTGCTGCCAGGCCCCTAATCTGCCATGGGCCCCTGTACCGCCTCCTCATGCTGCTGCCAGGTCCAGAGTCTCTCATGGGTCCCTGTACGGCCTCCCATTGCTGCTGTCTCCATCGCCACACTCTGCCATGTGCCACTTTCAGGTCTCCTCACACACTGCTGGTGTGTTCCATTTTTTGTCATAGGGTGCTGGCAGATTACGGGCCTCCCATTGCTGCTGCCAGGCCCGTAATCTGCCATGGGCCCCCGTACCGACTCCTCATGCTGCTGCCAGGCCCGTAATCTGTCATGGGCCCCTGTTGTCGCTTGTTGGCATATTCCCGCTCGTTCAGATGCTCCTTCTCCTGCTACTCCTCTTCACGGATTCCGTCAGCAGTCTTTCTTGGAATCCGTTTCCAAGAGACAACAGTTTGCGAGCACGCACCCGACGGTGCAGAAGCTGAACGTCCTCCTGTCCAAGTTGCTGCTGCCAGGCTCGTAATCTGTCATGCGCCCCTGTACCGCCTCCTCATGCTGCTGCCAGGTCCAGAGTGTGTCATGGGCCCCCGTACCGACTCCTCATGCTGCGCTGCCAGGCCCGTAATCTGTCATCGGGCCCCTGTACCGCCTCCTCATGCTGCTGCCAGGTCCAGAGTGTGTCATGGGTCCCTGTACGGCCTCCCATTGCTGCTGCCAGGCCCGTAATCTGCCATGGGCCCCCGTACCAACTCCTCATGCTGCTGCCAGGCCCGTAATCTGTCATGGGCCCCTGTACCGCCTCCTCATGTTGCTGCCAGGTCCAGAGTGTGTCATGGGTCCCTGTACGGCCTCCCATTGCTGCTGTCTCCATCGCCACGCTCTGCCATGTGCCACTTTCAGGTCTCCTCACACTGCTGGTGGTTTCCATTTTTGTCATAGGGTGCTGTATGGCCTCCCATTGCTGCTGCCTCCATCGCCATCTGGTAAGTTGCCACGTGGTGAAGGATTATTGGATCACCTGCATTGCATGTGTTTTTTTCGTGGGCACATGGAAAAGAAGTTATCTATCTGTACATCACTGCACTGATTACGTATTCAATGGACGTTTCACTTATTTACTTTATGTAATTATATGAATGGACACTTCACTTATGCATTTATGTAATTATATGAATTTTTTCTTTTATCCCACTGATTTATTTGGTTCACTCATGAGTAGTTGATATATATAATGTTCATGCATGTGTTCTGCATTATTTAGAGATTACAGCATATATTACCTATCCCATTTATTATCTATAATTTTTTCATCCGCATCTTATCGATTTTGTGAAGGCACATTTATTGGAGCTAAGCACTTTTTTTTGTTTTTGATATTGATTTAGTGTGGTGTATACTTTGAAGAGCTGCTGTCTCCTTTTGGTTTTAATTCATTCTGGTTGGGGTTGGCGCCGCTGTTTTTTGTTTATTGAATACCTGTCCGTGTTTACCATTGTGAGATGGGGAAACGGCTCTCATTGTTTGAATACTGCTTGTGTGGAGTAAATTAAATGTTTTGACTGACATTCTGCAGTTTAGCCACAAGATGTCACTGTTTTTCTAACACAGCCTCAGACTGCATAGATATTTCTATATTCATGAAGAGGGAGTTTACACACAGAGTTGAGAGGGAACAGGAAGAAGAGACAGCAGTCATGTTCTGGAGAATGGTGAATGAGGGGGGCCGTGTGAGCTGAGAATCTGATGACATCCAGGTGTGAGAGCATCCCTCCGTAACCAGAGATTGCTGCCAGGAAGCTGATGAGATTGCTGCCAGGAATGCTGATGAGATTGCTGCCAGGAATGCTGATGAGAGCAGTGGAACAAAGCAACATATACAGTGAGACCACATGCTTGTTGGAGAGACATTTGTTCTGTTCAGAGTCACCAGCGGATGCAAAGCAGACCCGGGTCGGTAAGATTGTGCACGCACCTCATTTCAGTGTTGGCGCCTTGAGCCTGAGTCCAGGCCTATAGTTAGTTAGGGCCTCTGTTTGTGTCAGGCCACAAGTGTTGTTACTGATCATTGGAAGGACTCCACAACTTAAAGTGACATTTCACATTGGAGAGCTGATAAAATCCTACAAACCAAGCCAGACTGGCTTTTTGCTCAGAAGGAATGCTCAGGCAGGTGCTACAGGACCAGTTATGGGAGGGGGAATACTGTAGATTTGTGTAAGATTGTAAGCTGTTGTGCTGCACCGCAGGCTAGCCCATACCATACACCCATACACTGATTCCTGCTCTTTAAGGGTAATAACGGGTAAGGTGTGGCAGCTTATTTGTGCCCGCCAGTAGGTAAATTACTAGACCTTCTACCTTCATCCATCAGAGGGCGCCGTGCTGTGCAGCACAAGGGTCTCAGCCTTTGGGCTGGGTGGATATAAATTTATTGTATGTTTCCAGCATTTGTGGTTATGTTTATTTGCCACATCTAAGTAAAATTCTGTTATGGCAAAAGCTGGTGTTGAGGTTGCTTTCCTCGTTCGTGACTTCACTGTATTCTGGATGTCAGTGAGTACAGTTTCCTAAACCATCAAAAGGAACTTTAAAACTGTTGGAAGCTTTGACAGGATCATTTCTGACAGACTCAAAGCCTCAACAGAATCAAACAACATCTTTCTGAGAGTCACCCGCTTGCATCATACTGTAGGTGCCCCACAGGACAACAACTTCAATCAGAGCTTACAATGGATAGTGTGAGCAAGAGAAAACCTGGAGCTGCATTAAAGGTTAACTTAGCCTTTAACTGCATAGGTTAGTTTGTGGAAAAGGTGAATTTAACCTTTAAAAATAAAACATTTCCCATGTCTTCCTGTTCTTGGGACAACTTATTCTCCATATAGGAATCTCTCCAATTGATCCTGTGCCTGCAGTAAAACTTGACATGATTTCTATTCCTTCCAAAGAAATAAAATGTATCTACGTATTACCAGATTTTATTTAAGTGTCAATAATTTTCTCTGTGTATTTGTTAGCACAATGTAGGACACGCAGAAAGCCATCTCTGGCCAGCCTTATGACAAAAGGCAATACACCTCTAGCTTAATATCTGCTTTAGGCTGGTGAAAAGTTTATTCCTTTAGAGCAGCGGTTCTCAACCTGGGGGCTGCGACCCCTTTGGGGGTCGAACAACACTTCCACAGGGGTCGCCTAAGACCATCGGAAAACACATATTTCCAATGGTCTTAGGAACCGAGACACCACTCCTCTATCCGTCTCCAGACGGGACCACCCACATGCAGATACGCACACATACGAGTACTCGGCGTGATGACATCATTGCGCCAACCCCATCACATACACCCCGTACAAATACAGGGTTGGTGACATAACGTACTTATGTGGACCAGTCACACATGTGTAAAGAGCAGCTGCTGTGTTGAAAGCAGCAGTATTGGAGGTAAAACGACACTTCATGAATTATAATTACTGGGTAAATGTAAAATCATGTACTGTAAAATCATCAACTACTGCAAAAAAAAAAAATATCTGTACCATGGGAACTTAATCTGGATGCTGATTGGTCTTTTTATATTCTGTCTTTTAAATATTTTTATATTGTTTTTGTGATTAATCACTATGCTTTAATTATGTTTAATTTGTAACAATGAAAATACATCCTGCATATCAGATATTTACATTACGATTCATAATAGTAGCAAAATTACAGTTATGAAGTAGCAACGAAAATAATTTTATGGTTGGGGGTCACCACAACATGAGGAACTGTATTAAAGGGTCGCGGCATTAGGAAGGTTGAGAACCACTGCTTTAGAGTGCCTGGCTTGCGATAAAGTAAATATGTTCAACTTCTCTCCCGTTTGTGAGGCGTCATCAGACTAAATGTCATTTCTACAGCCTAACGGCAGATATTCCAAGATGCTGATTGGCATTTCCCTCAGGCAGAGCCCCAAGATTTACCTGTCAAACAATATTTATCAGAGGATTCACAGAGCCACAGCGCACAGACCCCTAGGCTGTGTCTCATGTTGCTGGTACTCTGTGTTCTGTACTTAGTGGAAGCTCACATCACAATTATTCCGACTAAGCAATGTAAAGTAATGCTTCGCACTCCCTGGGGGAGGCCTTCGCCACACAAAGTGAAGTCCTTTCAGTAATTCTAAAGCGTTTTTTTTTTTTTCCAGGAGAATTCCTACTGATTGCCGATCTCTAAAACCTTTTGCTATTATTACTGCCAATTTGTTCTTCTTGTATGTTACATATAAGTGCATTAGGGCACATAAGCATCTAATACCATAGGAACTAGGTTGCCAGGGAAACATTTGTACCTGCAGATGTTTTCCATCCCACATGTTGCTTGAATAAAGAGGAAAAAAAAATAGCATTCATCTGAATTCTTTTTTTCGAAATGCCAAATATCAGGGAGTCCCTTTTATTTAACATGTTTAAGCTTGAAGTTGTGCTAAAGCTCCCATTGCGAAGATATAATGTAGAGGGAGAGGCCGGGAGAGCGGTAGATAAATAGAAGAGAAATGAACTGTTTGATATGCAGCAGCCCAGCTCTGTATTCCCTGTGTGGTAGGGGAATACCCTGGTGCCCCAGGAGAGCACTCAGCTCTCTGCTTTCTGACAAGGCTGAGTAGATTATTCTTTAAGCTTCAATAATTCACAGACTGTCTTGCGGAGGGTTTTCCAAAAGCTCTGAATACATGGTGCTGACTAGAAGTGTTCAAAATAATTTCCTCTGTGCCTATGCCTGGCTATAGAAAGAGCAGCAATGGGCTGATTTTCATTATTTTTTTTCCTAGCATCATCTTTTCTCTTAACTGCTTTTTACCCTGACACGCTTTCAATCATTTAAGCATCGGAGCTAGCTGCTTGGGTAGAAGGACTTTTCTAAAGTCAAATGTACCCAGCAGTACTTCATTCTGTTTTAAAGTCCAACTCCAGTTACAATAAAATGAAAAAAAACGACAACAAAAGTAGCCAGTTAGGTGCAAAAAC